TGTGGTTCTATGAAATTTGGGGACCAGAATATAGCTTCGCTCTAGATACTTTAGCTGAGGACATCGTCTGTGTCAGGGATCTGTGATCAACTTGTCAGAAGCATGATCCTGCTGCATCTACGTAATGTTGACATAGGGTTGATACTATTAGGGTCCCCATTTTTGAGATGTGAAAATAGTCAGGGGGCTAAGGAACTTGCCCAAGGTCATATGGTAAATCAGGGGCAGAGCTGAGGCAAGACGAAACCCAGAACTCTTTCCTCCAAAGTTGGCTCCCACCTCCAGTTTGAGCACTGACTTGGGGAGCATCAGGCAGATACTGTGAAGAACCAGGTGTTTCAACAAAGCCACTGGCAGAGAGATCCCACCTTTGATTTGAATATAGAGGGGATGCTTCCCTTGGAAGGGGTGGTGGCAGGGAAAACAATGGCTCCTACTCACTGTCAACCAAGACCTTTGCTCCAGGACTGGGCTTTGAGTAATTTATTAACATCAGTACTGACCAAGATAAACAGCCAGGAGGTCAGCCCTTGGAGACAGAGCCTGGGGGCTAGAATGCTCTTCACTCCAGGGGAATGGCAGGGGAATCCAGGAGCTCTGATGGGCTCCCATCTCTTCCCACAACTCTCTCATCTTTTATGCCTATGGACCTCAGTTTCCCCGTGTGTCAAATGAGCAGGCTAAAGCAACCTATCTCTAAAGATCTTTTCTCAGGCAAAACCCAAGATGGGACCTGTCCAAGATCCCAGGACAGGGTCTGAACTCCAAGCCAGTGTCCATAGGTTCACATTTTCAAGAATTCAAATTTCATTTTCTCAGTGAAATCATAACATTCTCCTGCCCCTGAACTCCCCGACCCCTCTCACCCTGCTGTTTCTGTAGCTCCTTCTATCCCATTATACTTTTTTCCCCCTTATTATATGCCTTGTTTGTTGTCTGCTCCAGTAGAAGCAGCCCCAGATGGACAGGGATCTTATCTGTCCCTTGTATTCCCACTGCCTGGAATGGTGCTGGGCACCTGGCACGTGCTTAGTCTGTGTCTGGGAAACAAATGAAGGAGTGAGGGGACACTAAGACAGAGCCGCTTGAAGATGATGAAAGTTGGAAGGAAATAAATTAAAGGAAGGGTGGTTCAGAGTGTGGACGCAGGGCTCAGGGTCCCTTTCCCTCCCCACCACCACCAGCAGAATTAGTGCTTAAGAGCACAGGTTCTGGATGAATCCAGGTTCTAATCTCAGCTCAGCTTCATCTCTTTGAGCTTTATATTCCTCATCTGTAAAATAGGGGCCTTAGGATGGATCTTTTAGAGAAAGGGCCTGACAAGATAGTGCAACTAACATCACTGTTCCTACCAAACTTCCTAACTCACTCCCAGCTCCCACTCTTTCCCCACTTTTCCTAATCTGCCCATCCATCTTTGTAAAGCACCATTTGGATGATGCTATTGTTCTGCTCTAAAGTCTTCTGTGGCTCCCCACTGTGTACAAAACAAAGGCTGGATGTCTCCACTTGGAATTCTAGCTCTCAGGTACTTTGCCAAGCTTTCCACAGATCCAAGATTCCCTATCCCAGTGGTTCTGAAACCCACCACTAATAATGTCATCTGAGAAATTCTCAGGGCCCATCCTAGACATACAGCAGCAAAAACTCTGGGGGTGGGCCTAGCAATCTGGGTTTTAACAAGCCCACCAGGGGACTGCTCAACTTTAAGGATCAGTGCTCTAGAACAGTCCTAATTTCTTTCCCCCCCCCCCCCCCCCCCCGCCGCCAATGTAATCTCAGAAATGCCAAAGATTTTGGTATCTAAACTATATTAAGAATGCCTCTTAGGCCTAGAAAAACACAACGCAGTTTTGTATACTCTGCAGGAAAGATCTGTCCGGATGGACCAGTTTTAGCCCCTTCCATAAAAACACCTATCTTATTTCTCCATGGGCCCTTTCATCCTTTTCATAGAAGTATGTCTTATCTCCCCAGCCACACTGGAAGCCACTAATGTCCTCCCATCCCCCCCAGGGTACAAAGCACAGTGCTTTTGGCTTGGGAGTTGCTCAACAAGTATTTGTCTCAGATGAGAACTTTTCGGTAGATGTCACATTTGCACTCTCAATAGTGATCAACAATCCGAGACCCTGCAAAATGAAATTGCTCCAGAATGTTCTCAGCTCTATACACACTCTGAAACACTCTTGTGTTTTGAGTTGGCTGATTTTATTTATTTATGTATTTATTTATTTAATTTATTAATGTTTATTTTTGAGAGAGAGAGAGAGTGAGAGAGAGCGCACATGCAAGCAGGGGAGGGACAGAAAGACACACACAGAATCCAAGGCAGGCTCTAGGCTCTGAGCTGTCAGCACGAAGCCTGACGCATGGCTCGAACTCCAGAACCACAAGATCATGACCTGAGCCAAAGTTGGACACTCAACCGCCTGAGCCACCCAGGCACCCCTGAGTTGGCTGACTTTAGAAAGGACCATGTATCTGCTTGATTATTCCAGAGGTGTATGTTTAGAAGACATACATAAGAGCTAAAAGAACTGAAGTTCTGGGGGTGCCTGGGTGACTTAGTCGGTTAAGCGGCCAACTTCAGCTTAGGTCACGATCTCAGTTTGTGAGACCGAGCCTCATGTAAGGCTCTCTGCTGTCAGTGCAGAGCCTGATTCAGATCCTCTGTCTCCCACTCTCTCTGCCTCTCCCCCACTTGCGTGCACATGCTCTCTCTCTCAAAAATAAATAAACATTAGATAAATAAATAAATAAATAAATAAATAAATAAATAAATAAAAGAACTGAAGTTCTGGAGCACCTGGCTGGCTCAGTCAGTAGAGCATGTGACTCTTGATCTTGGGATAGTGAGTTCAAGTGCCCCATATTGAGTGTAGAGCTTACTTAAATAAAGCATAATAATAACAGTAATAAAAATAAGAGAACTAAAGTTCTGTTAACAGGATTACTGGTACAGCAGTAGTAACAACTGCTGTTTATTGAGCAATTACTATGTGCTAATCTGCATGACACGTATTTGAGAAAAATGAAGCTCAAGGATGGTTAATGGCCGAGAGGATTCCAACCCACATCCATCTGACTTTAAAGCCCACACTGTTATCTCCATCCTAGCAGTCCCCAAACCTCGGAGGTCAGAAAGGCTGCTACCTGTCCCTCTAGTGACTCCAGAGAGATATGGGGTGGCCTAAAGGTCAACAGGAGGGGATGTCCCCAGGTATCTAAAAGGCATAAGTAACTGTAAAGCAGTCCCTGAGCGACGTGGGAAGCATTAGTCCAAGAGCCTTCACAGCAAGCCTGCAAAAACGCCCAGCAGATCATCATCACCACTTTACAGAGAAGGAAACCGAGGTTCACAGAGGTTCTAGTGCCCAAGTCAAGTGAGTAAGTGAGGAGCAGCAGGCTGCCTTATGTCCCACGCTCCTTTTGTGGTCTCTGGATATTTGCCACACAAATGGCTCTACCACCTACCGATTCTGGTACCCTGGGGAAGTGAGGTCCCAATCCCAGCCTCGATTTCCTCATCTGGAAAACAAGGAGCTCACAGAAGATGATCTCCCCAAGGCCTTTTCAGCCCTGATATTATGAGGAGTTCGTGCAGAAACTGTCAGAACAAGGGCAATATCTGTTGCATGTTTACCAGGGGCTAGAAGCCTCACATACATGGCCTTTTTCACCCTCAACAGCTCTATGAGATACAGACTATTTTATCACCCCTTTTGCAGATGAGGAATCTGAGACTTCAAGAGGCCAAACGACTCACCCCACTAAGAAAGGCTGAGTTAGATATGCTGGCGCTAAACTCCAGGCTCTTTCCATGATACCAGCTTTCTCCCCAATTATTGGGCGGACAGGGTGGGGGGAACACACTCAGCTCCTCTTTCCCAACGACCCATGAGCCACAGTGCACAGTGCTCTAAGATCTCATGGCAAGGTCTCACAGAACTCTGAAGCTTCAAGCCTAGGCTGCTGGAGAGGAGGGCCCCCTGCTTCTTTTCCGCACAGAGGTGGGGAGACAGGTGTCTTCACTTCTGTAGCAATATGTTCTTGAGCACACACTGTCCTGAACCCTGTGCTAGGGGCTGGATTAACAGAAAAATGACATGAAAGGCTAGTCGGGCAGACAAGCAAGTGTGTATAGAGGGTGATGAGGGGATGGGGAAAGTACAGGCCGCTGGAGACGCAGCAGGGAGGGGCCGCCCAGGGCTGTTCAAGGAGGCCAAGCCCTGCCTCAGTCCAGAGCAGGGCCCAAACAAAAGCCCAGGCTGAGAGAACTGCCTCTCCCAGGAGGCCACCAGTTGTGGTGCAAAGAGCACTGTCAGAAGACCTGGGTCCGGACCCAATGCCACCTCCGGACACCAGAGGGAGTGACCTTGGGCAACTCCCATTCCTTCCCAGGCCTCCTTTGCCCCACCTGTACTGTTCAGGATTGGGGAGCAAAGGGTCTCTGTAGCCATGGCCCTTGGGGGTCCCCTATTGCTATCCGTATCTCTTCCCCCCAGAACTTCCGAGGGAGGAGCTGCCTCTCCTAGAAGGCCCCAGTAGGTGTTATTTCACAATCATCTCAAAGGCCTAGAAAAGAAGCCACTCCTGCCCTCTGCCCGGCTCCCACTCTCCAGGGCCCAGGGCATGTCCCTCTCCCTCTCATTCACCCCATCTTTCATCCTGTGCCCAGAGCCAGGTATCCATTAGGACAAAGACCTTGCGCCTACCTTTACCATTTCCCCCATTCTTTGCTGAGAGCTCTTCCCTAGGCCTAGATCTTGCTCCCGCCTCTAACCCATATAGATTCCAAGCCGGAGTCTGTCCATTCCTCTGACCAAGACCCTGGTCCCCTCCCCAGCACTCCCCGCGCGCGCGAAGCGCTCCCCCATCCCTGCCCCGGCTCTCACCGCGCGGCAGCCGCAAGGTCCCCTGCTCGGGGCTTCGGGCGTCCCATCAACCGTCGCGTCGCCGCAGAGATGCTGCACAGCCGCGGAGCCATGTTGGAGCGGCGCAGGTTGAAGGAAGCCCCCGCCCCGAAACCGGCGACGGGGCGGGGCGTGAGTAAGCCCCGCCCCACCGCGTAGACCGCTTCCTTCTGCAAGCAGCCAGGTGGGCGTTTCCGCCGGGCGTCCCCCAACTCCACAGAGTTAGAGCTGAAGTCAGACTTTTGTTTTCAGAACTCCTGCAGCTCTGGTATTGACTTGCTCTGTGACCTTGACCAAGGCCTTTGCCCACTCTGGGCCTCAGTGTCCACCTCGGTAAAATGGAAGCATGGAACAATGGCACTAGGGATTCTTGTTGTTTTTTTTTAATTTATATTCAAGTTAGTTATCACATAGTGCAACAATGATTTCAGTAGATTCCTTAATGCCCCTTACCCATTTAGCCCATCCCCCATCTCACAACCCCTTTGGCAACCCTCTGTTTGTTCTCCATATATAAGAGTCTCTTGGGGTGCCTGGGTGGCTCAGTCGGTTGGGCGGCCGACTCCGGCTCAGGTTATGATCTTGCAGTCTGTGAGTTCGAGCCCTGCATCGGGCTCCGTGCTGACAGCTTGGAGCCTGGAGCCTGCTTCGAATTCTGTGTCTCCCTCTCTCTCTGCCCCTTCCGCATTCACACACTCTCTCTCTCTGTCTTTCAAAAATGAATAAACGGGGGCGCCTGGGTGGCGCAGTCGGTTAAGCGTCCGACTTCAGCCAGGTCACGATCTCGCGGTCCGTGAGTTCGAGCCCCGCGTCAGGCTCTGGGCTGATGGCTCAGAGCCTGGAGCCTGTTTCCGATTCTGAGTCTCCCTCTCTCTCTGACCCTCTCCCGTTCATGCTCTGTCTCTCTCTGTCCCAAAAATAAATAAACGTTGAAAAAAAAAACTTTAAAAAAAAATAAAAAAATAAATGAATAAACGTTAAAAAAAAAAAAGTCTCTTATGTTTTGTCCCCCTCCCTGTTTTTATATTATTTTTGCTTCCCTTCCCTTATGTTCGTCTGTTTTGTATCTTAAAGTCCTCATATGAATGAAGTCATATGATATTTTTCTTTCTCCTACTAATTTCGCTTAGCATAATACCCTCTAGTTCCATCCACATAGCAGCAAATGGCAAATTTCATTCTTATTGATTGCTAATACTCCATTGTATATGTATACCACATCTTCTTTATCCACTCATCTGTTGATGGACATTTGGGCTCTTTCCATACTTTGGCTATTGTTGATAGTGCTGCTATAAACACTGGGGTGCATGTGTCCCTTCGAAACAGCATATCTGTATCCCTTGGATAAATACCTAGTATGCAATTGCTGCATTGTAGGATAGTTCTATTTTTAATTTTTTGAGGAACTTCCATACTGTTTTCCAGAGTGGCTGCACCAGCTTGCATTCCCACCAACACTGTAAAAGAGATCCCCTTTCTCCACATCCTCGCCAACATCTGTTGTTGCCTGAGTTGTTAAGGTTAGCCATTCTGACAGGTGTGAGGTGGTATCTCATTGTGGTTTTGATTTGTATTTCCCTGATGCTGAGTGATGTTGAGCATTTTTTCATGCGTCAGTGGGCCATCTGGATGTCTTCTTTGGAGAAGTGTCTATTCATGTCTTTTGCCCATTTCTTCACTAGATTATTTGTTTTTTGGGTGTGGAGTTTGATAAGTTCTTTATAGATTTTGGATACTATAACCCTTTATCTGATATGTTGTTTGCAAATATCTTCTCCCATTCTGTAGGTTGCCTTTTAGTTTTGCTGATTGTTTCCTTCACTGTGCAGAAGCTTTTTATTTTGACGAGGTCCCAATAGTTCATTTTTGCTTTTGTTTCCCTTGCCTCTGGAGACATATTGAGTAAAAAGAGGTTGAGTAAGAAGATCAAAGAGGTTTTTGCCTGCTTTTCTCCTCGAGGATTTTGATGGTTTCCTGTCTTACGTTTAGGTCTTTAATCCATTTTGAGCTTATTTTTGTGTATGCTGTAAGAAAGTGGCCCAGGTTCATTCTTCTGCATGCCGCTGTCCAGTTTTCCCAGCACCACTTACTGAAGAGACTGTCTTTATTCCATTGGATATTCTTTCCTGCTTTGTCAAAGATTAGTTAGTCATCCATTTGTGGGTCCATTTCTGGGTTTTCTATTCTGTTCCATTGATCTGAATGTCTGTTTTTGTGCCAGTTCTGCACCGTCTTGATGATTACAACTTTGTAATACAGCTTGAAGTCCTGGATTGTGATGCCTCCTGCTTTGATTTTCTTTTTCAAGATTGCTTTGGCTATTTGGGGTCTTTTCTGGTTCCATACAAATTTTAGGATTGTTTGTTCTAGCTCTGTGAAGAATGGTGGTGTTATTTTGATAGGTGTTGCATTGAATATGTAGATTGCTCTGGGTAGTATTGACATTTTAACAATATTTGTTCTTCCTATCCAGGAGCATGGAATCTTTTTCTGATACTAGGGATTCTTAATTGGGCACTCAAGGACTAGTGGCAGAGGGTCAGTAGGCCCCCTGAAATTGTGCGTTTTTCTGGGGAGGAGGGATCCACAGGCTGTATTTAGCACATTTATCAAAGGAGCAAACCCCAACGATTGCAGACAGTTGGAAAAGGCTCTAGGCCATAGGTATATTTTCTCTCCATCTCCTTTTCTATTTTCATCCCATTTTACCATCTCTGCCTAGACATTCTGGGGCCCCATGCCCTCTTCTGGCCCTGCCCAGCTCTTTTGCCTGCTTTCCAAACTAATCCCTTCTCGGTCCACAATCCCCCAGGTCACAGACCTCAGCAGGAGGGGAGAGCCTGCAGACCCCACGAGGGGTCCAGGGGCCGAAAGGGACATGGATGTTTGCATGTACACCTCCTCAAAGAATATCCACCCACTGGCTGCAGACCAGTGTCTCCCTCCTGGTGTTCTTGGCAAGGGGGAGTGGAGGGCAGGCATTAATTTTGTTAATCATTCAGCAAATACTACGTCTACCTGGCTATTGGCTGTGCTAAGCTCTGAAACACTAAAGGTAGACAGGACAACAAGCCCCCAGCCCTTTTGGGACTTGAGATCTGGTAGGAGAGACAAAATCAAATCAGCACTGACTTTGAGCCCCTTTACGGCAGATGCCTTAAGCTGCTCTCCTCTCATTTCTCTTGCATGATACATTAAATATTTACTGAATAAGTGAAAAATACACACAAAAGTATTTTTGTCAATTGCAATACAGACTATGAAGAAGTACAAGGAGCTGTAAGGACTTACAATGTGTGGGGAAGAGAAAAAGGGAGGTCCCATATAGACTTGAGGGTCAGTAATGACTTCTATAAGAAAATGAGTCTTGCACTATGATTTTTTCCCCCGTGTTTTCTTTTTTTTTTTTTTTAATTTTTTTTCAACATTTATTTATTTTTGGGACAGAGAGAGACAGAGCATGAACGGGCGAGGGGCAGAGAGAGAGGGAGACACAGAATCGGAAACAGGCTCCAGGCTCTGAGCCATCAGCCCAGAGCCCGACGCGGGGCTCGAACTCACGGACCGCGAGATCGTGACCTGGCTGAAGTCGGACGCTTAACCGACTGTGCCACCCAGGCGCCCCACCCCCCTGTGTTTTCTAACTTAACATGTATTATATGTGTAGCTTATTTTAAAAAGGAAATGATAGGGGCACCTGGGTGGCTCAGTTGGTTGAACATCTGACTCTTGATTTTGGCTCAGGTCATGATCCCAGTATGATTGAGCCCTTCGGCAGGCTCTGCGCTGAGTGTGGAGCCTGCTTAAGATTCTCTCTCTCTCTTCCTCTGCTCCTCTCCCCCACTTGTACGTGCTCTTTCTCTCTAAAATATAGATAGATAGATAGATAGATAGATAGATAGATAGATAAAAAGGAAGCCATATCCTCATGATAAATGGAAAACCTGGATCAATTGTTCATAAACAGGCAGAACCATCCAAATAAATACAGTGGAAATAATACTGCAGCCACTGCCTTGTAGCTAAGGCAGAACACTGTGAGCCTGAGGCCTGCTCTTAGTGTTAACAAAGAAGAACAAAGAGAGGTGTTGGAGACACATCTGGGCCCACTGGCTCCTTGGGGTTATCAGAGGGACTAACAGGGAATAAGCTCCCCCTTCTGGAAGTTGGTGTGATCAGAGGCTCCCCAGTCACAGCCACTCAGGACAAGCTCAGATGGGTAGATGGAGATGTCACTGGTGTCATGCCATAGAGCTGCCCTTCCCTTAGACTCTGAGTGTGGCAGACCTGGAGAGGCGGAAGCGACTGGCTCCATCGGACCTCCCAGGAGGCCTGACTTTGGACCTAAGCTTGAAACAATACACAGAGAGGGTTTGCCAGGAGAAGGGAGCAGGGCAAAGGGAACCTGAGGCAGAGAAAGCAATGTTGCATAGTATGTGAAAAGGCTGCCATGAAGAAACAGGTTAGAAATTTTAGCACATGGGGTGCCTGGGTGGCTCACTCAGTTGAGCAATTGACTCTTGATTTCGGCTCAGGTCGTGATCTTGTGATCATGAAATCGAGCCTTGCATCAGGCTCCTCGCTAAGCGTGGATCCTGCTTGAGATTCTCTCCCTCTCCCTCTGCCCTTCTCCCCTCTCTAAAATTTAAAAAAAAAAAAAAAAAAAAAAAAGCAAGCAGAATCAAATACAATCAAAGGGTGGAGGTTATTTGGTAGCAGCTCCTCAGTCAGTACAAGGAAATACCTCTCTAACAATGGAGCAGGCAGCCTTGGTGACCGGTCACTGATTTTTTTTTGGCTGTGTGGTAGAAGGCGTTTGGTAATGAAACCACAGGAAGCCAGGACCCATGGACAGAAAGGGGCTGGCCCTCCTGGTCTAGGGTGAGAATCTTCACCAAATTCTAGATGTTTCTGGCCCCCTCTGCTGAGGAGAAGGGAGGGCTGACCTGCAGTCTCCTTACACTGGTCTGACACTTGTAAGAGGGTTTTCCCATCTCCCTCCACTTAAGTGGGGCAAGAGGATGAAACCAGGCAGCTCCAGGAGCAAGCTCCCACCCCTGACCATCTCTCCTGGTCAGACAGATCTCCCTTCCCATGTCATATGAACCACAGTGTGGCAGCTTACTGGAAGTGCAGCTTTGAAACCCTAACCCCATCCCAACCCCAGCTAGGGTGACCAACTCATTTCAGCTTCCCCTAGACTTTCCCAGTTTTAGCACCGAAAGTCCTCCATTCAGAAAACCCCTCTGTCCCAGGGAAACCAGGAGATTTGATCATTCTAATTGTGGCCCTATCCCTCTCCTCACAATACATACCTACTCCATCCCAGAACCTTCTCCTTGCTTAACTAACTCCATTTACCCTGCTTGAATAAGTAAGGCACAGGGGTTCTCTTTGTGACACTCAGTAACATGCAATGCTGGTTAACTGAGCACCTGTCATGAGCGGGTCCCTGTCCCATGACTGTGCATTCTGAGCGGCAAACCAGAGAGATGCTGAATGACAGTTCTACAAATAAGGAATTAGACCGTTTCCAATTACTGTGGAATAAATTACCCTCAAAATCTAGCAACTTGGAACAATAAACAATTATCATCTCACATGTCCAAACAGGTCAGAAATTCAGGAGTGAGTGGTCAGCTGGACTGGTTCTGGCTCAGGGTCTCCCACAATGCTGCAGTCAAAATGTCCGCTTTGGGGGGGCTCCTGGCTGACTCAGTCACTAGAGCATGCAACTCTTGATCATGAGGTTATGAGTGCGAGCCCCATGTTGGCTGTAGAGATTAAATAAATAAACAAACAAATTAAAAATAAAAAAGATGTCAGCTTGGGCTGTGGTCATCTGAAGGCTTGACTGGGGCTGTTGGATCTACTTCCAAGGTAGATTGCTCACACGCCTGACAAGTGATTGCTCTGTGTTGGCTTGGGACCTCAGTTCCTTGCCCCATGGACTTTTCCAGGCACTTCTTGGGTGTCTTTACCACATAGCAGTGGGATTACCCCAGAGCAAGTGATCCAAGAGAGAGTAAAGTGGAATCTCCAAGGACTTTCATGACCTGGCCTTGGAAATCACACTTATCATTTCTGCACGTCCCATTGGTTATACACGTTGGTCCTGATCAGTGTGGGAGGGGGCTTCACAAGGGTGTGAATACCAACATGAGTCACGGGGGCCACCTGGGAGGATGGCTACCACAATTAGGTTTTACACTAGGCCCAACTTAATTATTGGGGTTGGACCCAGCATTCCAAGCCATCTTCTGTGAGCAGGCCTCCCCAGCATCATTGTCTTCTGCCCCAGGATCTCTCCCTCCCCTTCCTCTCTCAGGTCCCTTCCTACTCACTACTGAGTCTGTGACATCTCTTTCTCCTGAACCTGTCCATCCATCCCTTCTCTCCAGGGAGCTGACCCATCTCTTCTCCCTCCCTCCCTTCCCAAAGCTGCCCTCACAGAATCCACCTTCATAACTCATGGCCAAGGCCTGCTGCCCAATCTGTGAAATGAAATGAGAGGAGCCAGGGACAAAGACAGATGGGCAGAGCCAGGAGGAGAGGAACAGGCAGGTTCATAAGTGTAAAATATGAACAAACCTGCCATCATCTATTCTCTGGGACAAATACATCATCACCAAATAGGCTGCAGAAGAGCAAAGAGACAAATTACCCAGCTGTGGCAGCGTCACCTGCTCCTTATTGATGGGCTTTTATGCTCAGGCCCAGCTGCTCTCTGAGAATTGCATCCCCTGGCTCCTACAGGACCCCAAACAGGAGTGACAGGGACAAGAAAGCTTTTATGTTTTGGCTAGGGCATGAGCCACGCTGCCAAGTTCCAGTCTTTCTGTAGTATGCATTATATGCAGATATGACTTATGCGACTTTGATGTAGTGCCACAAAAATGTTAACAAACTGACACTCTGTGTATACACTGGAAATCACACAAACACCAGGAAAAGAAAACAATTCTACTCCTTAGGTATTGAACAACTTCAAAGGCACGGAGATGGGATGGATTAAAAAGTGTTTATGCTACTGCCACAAGGCGGCGCCACTGTAGCGGGGAAAACAAATGACCACCGGTGTCCTTGCTGAGCAAATCACACTGTCGTTTTTTTGGTTTTTGTTTTTAATTTTTTTAACATTTATTTGTTTTTGAGAGAAGACAGAGTGTGAGTGGGGTAGGAGCAGAGGGAGAGGGAGGCACACAATCAGAAACAGGCTCCAGGCTCTGAGCTGTCAGCACAGAGTCCGACGTGAGGCTCGAACTCAAGAACCACGATATCATGACCCCAGCCAAAGTCGGATGCTTACCGACTGAGCCACCCAGGCACCCCAACAAATCACACTGTTGTTAACGTCCTTTGGACTCTAGCAACAGCTTTCTGTGCCCATTAAGCTGTTATTTTGTCGTTCACTCTCATTACAAACCACTTAAAAAAGCTATAACAACATCATTCAAACATTTACAAAGTAGAGATGCTAGGGCTGAAAAACACACCCCCAAATCAATACCTTTGGAGTAAATACTGGATGTGATAAAACACCACGAAGAGGACTGAATCACCTCCTCAACAGGTAGTGTTGTCAATTTAGGAGAGTACCCGTGGGTAGAGATAATGCTGCAAAGATACAAAGCAGCACCAAAAGCAAAAATGGGGTAAGACAGTCATAGATTTATGAGCTGTGCGAGTGCATTTCATCACCTACTTTACATTCATTCCTAGGAGGGAAAACGAATCTTGGAATACAAAGTTTTGAATCATGCAAAGTTTACAGAAGGCATCCTTCCTGGAAAATGTGACTTTCCTGGACCTCCCCAGCTATACTGGCATAAATACAGCACCTGGAGTCTGCTCTTGGAAAGAGAATGTTATGAGCTGAATTGTGTCCTGTGAATTAATAGAAAATATATATTTCATCTATGCCCTCAGTTTCTGGCACAGCTCCTAGAACCCTTGTCATTTTTTAAGTGATAAGAGAGTGCTACCAGCACCTTTTGTTCACATATTTGATCTTTGACCCTGGTTGCTGACACAGAGCTCCAAAAATCCCTTGGTATTTCCTGGGTGATAGGAACATCTTTTGTTCTGAGGAGGTAATGCCTGGTGAGATCCTGGAAGGGAGTGGGTGGGGTCATCAGAAAGATGAAACTTTAGAAGCTTGGAACTTTGAGCCCAAACCCCCTTCTTCCTGGAGGGGAGAGGGACTGGAGGTTGAGTTAATGACCGATCACGTCTACCAACAAGGTGAAGCCACCATAAAAATCCCAAAAGTAGGGGGTTAGGAGAGGCTGTACATTGGTGAACACATCCATATGTTCGGAAAGTGGTGTATCCCCAACTCTATGAAGACAAAAACTCTTGCTCCCTGGACCCTTCCTGACCTCGCCCTATATACCTCTTCATTTTGCTATTTATTATAAAGGCCAGTAAACCCAAGTGTTTCCCTGAATTCTGCAAGAATTCTAGCAAATTATTAAGTCCAAGGAGGAGGTCACAGGAACCCCAATTTGTAGCCAGTAGGTCAGAAGTACAGAAGACAACCAGTACTTATAATTGGCATCTGAAGGAGAAGCAGTCTCATGGGACTGTGTCCTTAACCTGTAGGGTCTACACTAACTCTAGTTGGTGTCAGAATTGAATTGAATTGTAGGACATCCAGCTGGTGTCTCAGAGAATTGCTTGGTGTAAAAAAAGCCACAGACTTTGTGTCAGAAGTACAGGGAGTGTGACAGGAAAGGCTCATTCAGTCCCCTAAACAAGAGATATTGAAGTCCCAATCCCAGTCCCTCAGAATGTGACCTACTTGGAAACAGGGTCTTCTTTACAGAGGTAATCAGGTTAAAATGAGGTCATTGGGGTGGGTTCCAATCCAGCATGACTGGCGTCCTCGTGGAAAAAGGAAATCTAGAAACAGGACAGGCACGCACAGAGGGAAGACCGTGTGAAGACACAGGGAGACACAATGTGCAGGCTGCAATGATACCACAAGCCAGCGAACATCTGGGGACACCGGGAGCTGGGAGAGGCAAAGAAGGAGCCTTCCCTCCAGGTTTCTGAGGGAGCACAGCACTGCTGACTTCTGGATCTTGGAATTTCAGCCTCCAAAGCTGTGAGACAATACATTTCTATTATTCCCAGTCACTCAGTTTGTGTCACTTTGTTACAACAGCCTAAGGAAGCTAATATAGAATGTTGCTTGAGATTCAAAGTACCACAGTAAAGGACACAGAAACAGTATCAAATTGCAAATTAGGCCAGAGTATACATTTTAGCCCAGAATAGTTATTTTTCAGTTCCTGCTGTAGACAAAGGCGTGCCTGCTACTGTAGGCATGCTGTCTTTGGAAAACCATGGGCCCAGAGCTAGAAATCTGGGTTGAGGATCCAGCCTCGATCTCTGTTAGGCTCTGTGGTCTTTGGCCAGTAAGTTCACTTTGGGCGCTTTAGTTTTAAATGCCTAATGGGCATGATCTACTTAATCATGAGAATTCAATGAGAATGCATGTGTATGAAAATCATCGCCAGTACAAGTGAAATAAATGTGTACTTTTAGGTGCTATTTGCAATTCCATTTCCTATCCCCCCCCCCCCCCAATTTAAGCAATGATGAGATGGAGACCCAGAGGTAACAAAAACCTTTGTGAGGTCACACAGCACCTTAGACATAGAGGGTGTTCAATAAATATCAATTCTTATTTTAAAAAGGGCTCCTAAACATGTCACGTAATTTATTATTAATGCCCATTTTTACAGATGAAGTAACTGAAGCTCAGAGAAGCTAAGCTGAGCAAGGTTACAGAAAAGTAGAAATTCCAACTCAGGTCTGCCCGTGAGGGACATCCTGGCCCAATGGGAATGGGGTGAGCACTAGTGATTTCCTAAGGTGTTCTAGGTTCCTTTACTACTGTTATTTCAGGTAACTGTTATTTCAGATAGCTGTTACCTGCAGGCTGCCTTCCTTCAGGGTCAGTGCCTCAGGAACTGCTTCCTTGGATCCTTGGAACACTGGTTCCTGGCCACAGCCTCAGAAGTCTTAGGTCCCAGAGGCGCCTGGGTGGCTCAGTCGGTTGGGCATCCGGCTTCAGCTCGGGTCATGATCTCACGGTCTGTGGGTTTGAGCCCTGCGTCGGGCTCTGTGCTGACAGCTCAGAGCCTGGAGCCTGCTTCAGATTCTGTGTCTCCCTCTCTCTCTGCCCCTCCCCTGCTCATGCTCTGTCTCTCTCTGTCTCAAAAATAAATAAAAACATTAAAAAAAAAAAAAAAAAGAAGTCTTAGGTCCCAGATCACGCTGGGCCAGGTGATATTAATGAATCAAATCACCTCCCTGAGCCTCAGGCTGCAGACAGGCCAAAACCTCTTTGTTTGGCTTTTAATCCCCACCCTGCTCCCAAAATAATGTGGTGTAGCTTACAAAAATACATCTGGAACATCAGTCCGATCGTGAGAAAACCTGAGACAAACCCGAATTGGAAGACATTCAACAGATACTTGGCCAATACTCTTTAAAAGGTCAAGGCTCCTGGATGGCTCAGTCAGTTAAGCGTTGGGACTTCAGCTCAGGTCATGATCTCGTGGTTCGTGAGCTCAAGCCCCGTGGCAGGCTCTGTGCTGACAGCTCAGAGCCTGGATCCTGCTTTGGATTCTGTGTCTCCCACTCTCTCTCTCTTTCTCTCAAAAATAAATAAATGTTAAAAAAAAGGGGGTCAAGGTAGTGAAGGACAAAGAAAAGCCGAGGAACTTAGTCCCGGCTGCAGGAAAATCAGAGAAATAACCCAATGTTATCTGGAATCCTGGGTAGGATCTTGGAACACAAAAGGGCAGTAGTAGAAAAATTGTAAAATTCGAATATGGTCTGTAGTTAACAGTAGTACATCAGTGTTAATTTCTTGATTCTGATCAATATACTATGATTAAATGATATGTTGACATTAGGAAAAGCTGAGTGAAGGATATGGAGAAACTACTATCTTTGCAAACTTTAAGTCTGATGCTAGTTTTTAAAAAGTTAAGGGGCACCTGGCAGAGCTTGCAACCCTTGATCTCAGGGTTGTAAATTCAAGCCCCACATTGGTTGTAGAGATTACTTAAAAACAAAATCTTAAAAAAAATGTTTAAAATAATAAACATTAAGGGGCCCCTATGTGGTTCAGTCAGTTAAGCGTCCTACTCTTGATTTCAGCTCAGGTCAAGATCTCACTGGTTTGTGAGTTAGAGCCCTACATTGGGCTGGCTGCTGTCAGTGCAGAGCCTGCTTCAGATCCTCTGTCCCCCTCTCTCTCTGTCCCTCCCCAATCTCTCTCAAAAATAAATAAGCATTTAAAAATAATAATAAAAGTTAAAAAATTAGATGCATGTTGGGGCACCTGGCCAACTTGGTGGGTGGAGCATGCAACTCGATCTCAAGGTTGTGAGTTCCAACCCCACGTTGGGCATGGAGCCTACTGTAAAAAATTAGATTCATGTGGAACGCCTGGGTGGCTCAGTTGGTTGGGTATCAGACTTCGGCTCAGGTCATGATCTCTAAGTTTGTGAGACCCGCATCGGGCTTTCTGCTGGCAATACAGAGCCCCTTTCATATCCTCTGTCTCCCTCTCTCTGCCCCTCCCCCACTCATGCTCTCTCCCTCTCTCTCAAAAATAAATGAACATCAAAAAGAATTAGATACATGTAAACAATACTTTGGTCATATATATACTGACTTAAGAAGAATAACCAAAAGAGCCTTTAGGTAAAGGATCCATAACTGAATAAAAATATAATAAAGAGTGAGAAAAAAAAAGTTAGTGGGTGGGAAAAAAGTTACTGCGGAGTAAGGAATAAGAGCAGGAAAAATAAGATGAAGCCACAGACAAGCAAGCCCTGGCACAGTTGCCAGAAACAGACTGCAAATTTGGCTCTGGGCTTCCTAACAGCAAACTCCAAGAAGAAAACATGATTGGTTACATGATTCACAATGTGTGTAATAGAGAAAGGCAAAATTAGATCAATACACAGGATCCTATGCAGCCCCTAGAAGATTTTATTATAGAATATGTGATGATATGGAAAAATATTCATAACATATTAACAACAATCAGCAAATCACAAAACAATACGGGCTATATGAAAACAGTAAGTCAGTGGATTATGCAAGTTAAAATTTCTTTCTGCATCTGCCTGCTCTCAGCACCAGCCCAGGACCCCTGAGGGTGTCCTGTCAACCATGCAGGCAGGGCTACAGTGTCTCCCACCTGGTGGAGACTTGGCTGTGGTTTTTTTTCGAGTTTGTTTTTTTTTTAGTTTAATTTTTTTTTTTTTTTTTTTGAGAGAGAGAGAGAGGTTAAGCAAGTCAGATGCTTAACCATGGAGCCACCCAGGCGCCCAACTTGGCTGTGTTTTCATAGCAGCTATGCAGTTTACCAAAACAGCAGCTTCCTGAGGTATTGACATGCACATTTTCTGAAATTTAGTTTTTTTAATCTTAATTTTGAGAGAGAGCAGGCAACACAGGGCTCAAACTCATGAACCACAATATCAGGACCTGAGCCGAAGTCGGATGCTTAACTGAGCCGCCCGGGAGCCCCTGAGATTATTTCAGTTTTAATCAAATACTGCAAACAAAATGAAAGGGGGAAATTGTTCCATTCATGCAGTAGCAAAGGAGTAACTATCATTCACTTGTTAGTTTAGCCAAACATTTTTGGGGCAGTGAGAGGGAGTTTGGGGTAAATTAGCCTTTATAAGATTTAGCAGTTTGTACTTGCACGTTTTATATCATTAACTGTAACTTAATTCTGCTGGGTGTTGCTATGGGTTTCTGATCATTGAAAAAGCCCGTTGTTTTTTTTTTAATTTTTTTTTAACGTTTATTTATTTTTGAGACAGAGAGAGACAGAGCATGAACAGGGGAGGGGCAGAGAGAGAGGGAGACACAGAATCTGAAACAGGCTG